TAAATTTTAATTACATTATTTGAAACTTTTATATTATATACATAATTTGCGTGTAAAATATTATCCTGTTTACTTTGAGAACAAATAACAACTACGATTAAGAATAAATTATTGGATTAAGTAATATTGTATCAAAATCTTAATAAATGTAATAAAATAATTAGGTACATAAATAAATATATCAGGTACCTATAAAGAATGCATTCGTTATAGTTTATTGCTTGAACTATGCACTTAAGACTTGCACCAAGAATGCATCTATGATTAACAATGCAAGTAGAAACATTCAATACGAAATTGCGAAAGAAAAGCCCTGAGGTAACTTCTTTAACACGATCCGAGTTAAAATGCTACTTCTCTATAATTTCGTAAGCGAACGAAGCGTTTCGTCTGATCGGAATCGGCGTGAGTCAGCCGCGAACGAAGGCGCGCCTTGTTGTCGGCACGATCACAATACACCTAAACTATTGTTCCTGGGAACCAACGAGTACGAAAAGTGAACCGCATCATACAGGAAATAGCCATGTTATTTATACTATTTAATAGGTATCGAAATTTCAAGCAATTCACAACACACACTTTATTGGCCGAGAACAAGCCACGTCCCAGCATTAGAAGTAAAATACTGCTGACTCTTATAATTTATGTGTGTTTCGTTTTGTTTAAAATTTATTTCGTCGTCTTAGGATTACGCAGAATTTTATTGTTGTGTTAAAGAGTATGTCGGTAGTAAGCTTCTTAACGAAGGCAGATTGGGACTTGCAATTCATATATAATGTACTAAATACTATATTTGAAATTTGTAGAAAATGAAATTTTAAAGTTTATTTTGCTTAAGAAGGTTGTACATAAAGCTATACATGAACACCTGGGAGGAATATTTTCAGTAGTGTGTATACCTATATATGTAAATGCTTTGAGAAATTTTTATGATGAAATTATGAATCAGTAAAAGAAAGAGAAATAAATCACTTAAAAATAATAAATCAATTTACTATAGTAGTGGTTATCTATAGCATAACCATGTCCACTATAGGATGTATGCATATAATAATTTACATGGGCAAAGGGAATTACAAGGTTTATTGAAATTAAAAAAAAAACGAAATTTATTAAATTTTCAAAATAACCTTCTTATCAAATAGATTAATAGAAGATAAGGCGATTTAAATATATGAATTTTATCTCTTATTAATTTATAAATTAAAAAAAATATAAATAAAAAATATGGTATAATTCACACAGCTCTTGAACATGATGATGTTATAGTTTAATAATAATAATAATAAAAATAACAATGACCCAATTTGTTAGGAACATAATCTTAGCCTAATGTTAGTACATTTTATAATAAAATATTTAAAAAATGAAAAAAAAAAAGAAATAATAAACAAATTTGGTCACCGCTAAAGCATCCATTTGAGATACGACAACAGTGACCAGTGTAAGAGTAGTCAAACCTACTTGAAATCATATATAAGCGAGAGGATGACAAACAAACAAAACATTAAATATTATATTCTTGGTCATGCAATTTGTTACACACCTATTATTTGTGATGAAGAAGGGCATGGGCTACTGGGCTATGGACGAAGTCGTTGGTAAAAATTAGTAAAATAAAATATTTTATTTTCTCATCTTTGACATATTCGCGTGATTATTCAAAACACGCTGTATCTCTGTTGGACATTACGTAGGCACTTCTCTCAACCTCTTACCGTATTTTTTCATAAATACACATCTAAAAAGTTTTCCATATATAATAAGAAAAATAAGCTATAATTTTTCTTAGAATTACTTTAGGTACATGTAACATTTTACAAGTGAAGGGAAATGGGAACACTTACAGCAAAGGTCAGGTAAGGTCAAATTATAGGGATATTATGCAGATATTTATTACGGTAGGTAGGTAAAGCTCTTTATTTACTGTTAGGGTCCAATTGGGTATACATGTGGGGGTACTATAATCCAATCGGCTAGCAACTCCGAGGGTACGTATAGATTATATGTGACGTCCGTATCGAATTTTTATTTGTATTAGAGCAAGAAATTTATTCAAATTATATTTCACGGTAGATTGTTTCTAAGGAAATTGTAGGCGGCTCAGGAAAGGTGAAATTTGAATGTATAATAACAACATTGCTCAGGAAAGATTTTCTAAAATATTGTCTGAAACAATAGAAATATTAATTAAGTCATTTTACAATGAAATATTTTGGTTTTGAGTAATTATTCGCAGCCGGCCTTGTGGGATAGGTTGAGGTTTTTGTTAGTTATATTTCAATATTTTATGTTACAGGAATAGATATCTTTAATTTATCTCTATAAACAACAGTAAACTTGGAAGTTATTTGAATAGGTATGTTTATTTGTAAGTTATAACGCGTATACTGCATTATCTAGAATTAGAGTATTGTGGACAGTTTAACAATCTAATTCAACAAGACATCACGATCACTGAAAACGAAACTTTGTGTGTCAATTAAAATTCCTGACAAATCCTGTAATAAACTTAATTTATCCGTAAAGATAGTAGGTGTGACGAAATGTGAACAAGAAAATTGTAATAATTGAAAATAATGCCTTTGACTATCGTTTAATTGAATGCCAGTTACATTTTTAAGCATTGCAAACGTAAACATTTTTAAGTTCTGTATGTTTACGCAGATATAAAACATTGAAATTGAGATATGGTAAAAGTATGTTTCTGCTACAGAAACTAGAGAAATTATTAGTTTTGTGGTGTAGTAAATTTCGATCGATCGTGTGCGGCCAGACAAAGGACACAGGAATATTGTTTGTCACAAAATTTATTAGGACGGCGACAGGGCGGCCGCGGGATGCGCCTACTTACTCGTACATATCCAATATATCTTTCAGGAACTGTAGAGTAATTCCACTAATATATTTGTATTTGAATTACATGTTAATATCCTATACTTGGAGGAAATGGGATTTAGTTATTGGGATCTAACAGGCCGGTCTTTACGCAGTTCTTTCTGGAAACTTAGATTTTTAGTTAATTCTTTATAAATTCGTCACTATGGGGCAATTGACGTGTTTAATTTTAACCTATCATCACTAACTGGTGCCCCGCCAGCGTACCTATACCGATAGTGCAGGCAGGGTTATCATTCTATTATCACCATTATATTATAAAAAATCGAATATCGTATAACTAAGTGCTATCAGTATTAAAAAAAATATAATAAAATAATTAAAAAATATTATTAGGGAGTATATAATCCCATTTGAAATTTCTCAGCTTTTTACGTAACTTCGAAAATGACATAGAAATGATTATATATTTATCATATCTTTACGCTATTATTATTAATGGGAACTGTCTTTGAATATGTATTATAAGAGCCAAAAAGATATGTATCTTTTACTTTCTGCAACTATTTCTATCCCTTTCGCACACGAATAAGAAAGAAAAAGCAATAATAATAAATGGGATTTACAGTATGGACCGCCAACGTAAACATATTTACTCGTTGTTCTACTTTGCCCGGTTCTTTATATTCTTGCCTAGCTTCAACAATGTCAAAGAGAATTCTCATCAAATGAAAAATGGAACAGTAGATGTAATAACTAACAAATAGTTAAATGCAAAGTATTGTATTACGCTGTATGCGTTGCAATAAGGATTTGTTCGCTTCTTCTACAATTTTTGTTCAGTGTAATGTTGCTAAGAGCAATTCTAAGGCAATCTTTCTTTGTTACTTTCGCGAACAATTTTCTACATAAGTATCTTGTTGATTCATTCATAGGTATCTAATTAATGTTGTTTATCTTCTTCTGTAATAACTCTTATTCTCCATTCTTTTAAATCTAATTTAGTATGAGTAAGACATTTGAATATTTATGCACGTAGATGTATGTATGAATAAATTGAGCTCTAACTTTGAGGACCAATGCTTGAAACTATTTGTTCTCTATTATGCCACAATAGATCAATGTTTTAATTTTCGGTCTGATATTAAGCGGTTAATATAGATATAAACGTATCTTGCAATTTTTTATATCACATACTTCTTATTGGAACTCGATATAAAAGTTACAAAATCTATAGGTAATAGTTTGTATTGTTATTAAAATAAAGCTAAATAAAGAACAAATGTATATACTAATAAAATCTGTTTCATGACTAATATTTAATAAAAATTGTCGTGACCTGGAAGAAGGAACTGAATTGAAGGTTGGAAGTCATATGTTTTTTGTTTAAATAACATTTATTTATTAGCAATATTTATTCATCGTTATATTTAGTTACATATCGTTATTATTTCGTTTTGTACAGCGAGATACAAAACTGCATAACCATAGAGGCATCTTTATACCTAACACTTATTGCTTCTTTTTCATCCATAATTTATCTTACGAATGTACAGCGATATGATATTTTATTCCTTATTGCATATTTAAAAGTCCACATTTGCAACAGATTAAGTACAGATAGTACCTACTTATGGTAAAAGTAATTAATTAGATGCCCCGAAATCTTGGCGACGTAGCATTCTTTTCTACATTAACATTCTTTTGCTGAATTATTCATGCGCATTTAATTGAATAACATTTAAATTCATTAGTCTGTGTTCTTTCTTATCTATACGTACTCGAAGAGGGCGCCAGTGATGAAGAAAAGGTAATTTTTCTTTTATATAGACCTTCGTATGTAATAGTGATACAAGTATTAAATATATTATTTGTATAAAATATATTATTATTATAATACACCATTTTGTAGACCAGCCAGAGTTGAGATGTTAGAATTTGATTGAAAACATGACGTATTTATTAGTAAACTATAATTGTTTGTAATATTTGTCAAATAATAGTTGCAAAACACAAAAATATACGTATTATAAAAATATACATATATAATAATATAGTCTTTTTTTAATCACACGGAAATGGGAAAAATTATATATTCTTAAAGTCACCTTTAATGAATGTATTCTTTCCATTTATCTGTTTCAAGAAATTTTGAATTTCAGATTTGAACGTGCCACGCTGTCGGTTAATGGATGAATAATACTTACTCCCGGTCCCGACCATAATGGAATCTTGAATACACTTCAGAATTCACATTATTATGACATCTCGAGTGTTTCACGACAGTTCTCGAACTTCAGACAGTACCTAATAAGCTTACAATAACATTTATGTAGGTACTTTTGTTAAATGAAATTTTACTTGAAATAATAACAAAATTACTTTAATATTAGCATTTTTTTTTTAAATATTAGTTAACTAGATATTTTTTGTGGCTTTGCGTCAATGTGTCAATGTCAAGTGTCTATGTTGTAAAAATACATCTATTACTTCGACATTAAGGATTCTGTGATTACTTATTTATTTAATTTGTATATCTACTTGACTAATATTTACGTTTATTACTATTCACCTAATATAAACGTAGGTATTTATCTATTTGACGTTTAGGTCTCGGTATAGACTAGGCCACTTTTTTCTTTCCCGTGGGTGTCGTAAGAGACGATTACCAGAACTTATGGTGGAGGGAAGGGCATTATCGTTCCTCTTAAAACACCATCTCTTTAAACCAAAGCCAAACTGTTGTACCAAAGCGCCTGTCAAGCGTGGCAACTTCTGGCAAAACCCTCTTATCCCATTAACCCTCGCAGGCTATGTTCGGCAGTGGACAGTTAACGGCCCATACAACAACCTACTTATTTATTTTGAATAGTTTCGTTTTTATTATGTAGATTATTATGTAGTAGATATCATCATATCTGTCGCTATCTGTTCATTGCTAAATATCTGAATAGTATGTATATATATTAATTATTAGTATTTATTAATTCTATTAGGTATACTTTCTCTCTTTTTGAAAATGATCTTAAGTTAGCTTATTTAAATGTCTATAATGTTAATATCATCTAATGGTAATTATGTGAATTCAAGACATGGTTTCCTGTATGATATGATATTAAATATAGAAATTATTTATTCTTATTATTCTATTTTCGATGGGTTTATTGTAAGCCCTATATAATAAAGGACTCTATTCATATACATATAATATATTTTCAGTCTTTCTAATTGATATTCAAAGTAATTTTATTATACGCTATTATTGTTATTATAGACCTACTACCAGTATTTAAGCACATGAAATTAACTAAAATCCAAGATTCGGTTTGACCGTGAAAGGTGTATAAAATAAAAGACGGATTTATTATTGCATGTATAATGCATGTATCGCGTATTTGTCGAACATTAGCATGGCGTCTGAAATTACAATCGGGCATGCTAATGTGCATTAACCTATCGACCCTACAACATCTGCACTACAGCTATCTGGTAAATTAATAATAGGTATCTATTTACAAAATTAGACACAATATGAGACCTAATGCGTGCATTACGTAGTTCTATATTTGAAATGAAGGCAAAAATAATTTAAAAAATTAATAACAATATTTTTAATTTACAGTCTGGCAAGGTGTACCTTAGAAATCATATATACCGTCATAATGTAGATCTGAAATGGTTTTTTGGTGATATATAGAAAGAACAATACACACTAAATTTGACATTTTTTTTGTAAAATTAAATGTCACTTTTCTAGAAAATAATAATGGTTTTAAATATGCAAAGTGAGGAAGTTGAGAGCTTTGGGTACTCAGGCTAATATAATTTAATAATTGTCTAATAAAGTGCCGGCTTTTTATAAATTATTCCCTGGGGTATGATACGTTTATCAAGATTGTCTTTTTGTGTTATATATTTTTAAATTGATTAGATGAAAGTGATACTGTATCATAGGTTTCGAAAAGTTAAGAAAATATTGTAATGGGTATCTAATCCATTATGTAGAATACTGAAATCTAGAGAAATATGTAACTCAGATAAAAAGTAAATATGATTAAAATTAAATTTATTTACAGAGTAATAAATAAATTAAGCTAAACACGAATATGAGCGAATTAACATGTTTTTCATTGTAATGCTCTATTCATTTAGGTTACACGCTTGATTATTACTTAAGTAATTGGCATATGCTCCGCAGGGGCATTTTAGCACAATTGCAAATTGATTTTTTGTTACATCTTTTTAGTCTTGAATTGTTGAAAAGGTGTATGGATTTTAATGTGATAAAATTGCATTTTATAATTACTAATATAAAATTTATGACTTGGCATATTAATCCATTAATTGATCGACTAATAGTTGGTATAAACTTTAAGTTTTTAATATAAATCTCTTTTATTACGTAATATCGAATATGAAGGGCTTTTGTTTTTACATTTACACAGAAAATAAATAGTTCTTTGCTAAAGCTGCAATATATACTTAGTTTTTCATATTGTGGCGTCTTTATTTATCTTTATTACCTACTAATAAAATTTTAAATAGAATTAAGTGACTTAATATGTTCATTATAAAAGAAATTGAACATTACAATTAAAACTTGATGCCTAATATTAGGTATATTTATATTAAACATTTAGTTTTTATATATTCAATATAATGATCAGGACTTAAAACGACGCGGTTGTAGATAAATAATACTTGATTATAATTTTTTCTTTATTTTTAAATAAAGTAAATAAAACTAGGTTACATAGGTTTCATATCCTGCCAAATGAAAAGTTTATTCTAACAAAATTGTAGTAGTTATACCTACTATTATTAATACAATACTCGTTAGAGGTAAAAAGCACAATTAGTCATAAAAATTAGGAAATAATATTAATAATAATATAATAAGTCTATAGGCGACAGTTACCAATTTCCATCAGGTAAGTCGTCAGTTTGTTTGCTATTATAAGTTTTATAAAAAACCTATTATCAATTAATTCAAACATAGAGCATTTTTTTTTAAATATTCCTATACTTATAAGTAATAGAAAGAGAGGCAGAAGAATAATATAATTTAATAGTGTAATAGTATTGAAGAAAACTATACCAAGAAACTGAACAAATTGTATCAATACCGTACGTAGTAGTTTTGTTTGAATTGCAGTGCGAATCAGAATAATCATGGGAGTCACGTCCAGCTTTCATTTGCGGTGTACCTACTCGTGTACCGGTCTATTGGTTCAAGTCCAGGGTCGGGCAAGTGCTCTCGTTACCGGCTCAGCATTTGCGGTTCGAACCACTCATTCAAATGAGCTGGGGTAGTTTACCCGCTGTATGTATATTAATATAGCAAGAACTGGGAATTTACTTCCAATACATTTTCACTGAAAAGTATCAGTAATAACCTATGTTCTATTTAGAATTGCGAAAAAAGATGAAATGTTTTAAATTTTATGTGATTGTATCTATACAATAAAGCTTAAAAATATAAATAACGTAAGTTTTATTTATTTATTTATTTTATTTAACACTTTATTACCCTAATATTACATGAATGTTAGTACAGATATTTAGAGTATTTTAGAGTAGTAATTGAAAGTTGGGTACCAATCCAAGTAGTTTCAAAGATTATAAATAATATAATTATGATTATAAGAATCAAAATAAGAGTGTATGCATACAAGAGGTTTTTGTTTGCGGACTATGAGGGAAAAATTTAGCCTTGTTCCTTCTTGTTGATTGAAATTTGCTATCTGATCTTATGTTTATTTGGTAAATATTATCTATAGCCTAGTTATGAAGATTTATTTGTAAATCAATAAAGATAGTAGGATATTTTTATTTATAAAAATAATAGTTGTATTAGAATATAATGAGATGGTAAATATGAAATTAATCCCATAAACAAAATGTCTGGTACTTGTCCTGTTTATGGCAACACTTAGACCCAACAAAAGCAATGGCCGCTCGTTAAGGAAATTTCGTTTAGATTATAATCAAATGGAAACGTAAACAAACTTTTCGTCCCACGTGACAAGCATCCGAAAAACTTGGGACGATTCTAATTTCACGTCTTGACGAAGAGGCCTCCTCATTTTCCTGACGGTTGCGGATATTTTCAATTTTACCCACGGTGGCTCCTTTTTATTAGTTGTTGTTTCGCCTTGAATACTAATCGCACAAGAATTAACATTCACGTGACATTCCCTTTGCCTATCCGAAGCGCGATGTGCCAAAATCGCGACATCGTATTTATATACTGTCACAACATAAAAGTTTGTGAAATTTACAAATTCGTCCAAATTTATGCACAGCTCCATATAAATGCATATTACTCTCATCTATATTTATGAGAACGGACAGATAAATTAATTTTTAATAAATTGTGTAGTTCTTTGACTCTCCGTAGACTCAGGCATGTACTTATGTATACATAAGTACATGCATGCTTTACTTACTTTTTTTGGTTATCCACTTATTTATAAAAAGGTTAAACCTCTTATAAAACCATTTTAAAATTTTGAACTGTTTTGTCTCTTTCCTTGGTGCTAAATTCCTAATTTAAAAGAAAGTGACAAAACAATGTAATAATAAATAAAATTGTAGAAGGTTTTAATTTTTATTAATCTATCTATTTTTTTACTTTTTTTTAGTTCACAAAGTTTTTTTTTTCCAGAGATTATAAATATCAATAAGATTATTTCATGTAGTAATCCACACGTATAAAATATAAAAAAAAAATTTAGTGTCAATGTAACCATATTTTTTTTACGACATTATAGTTTTGTTTTTTTTTTTTCAATAATTCTCAATAAAGAATTTTCCAATAGAAGGCGTATCTTTTGTGATATAGATTTAGTTATTTTTTTTAGAATCCTACTTATCCATAAAATGTCTCAGAGTTTGCAATATTTTTATATTCATAAGAGTGCATAACTTTATTGGTACATTTTGATACTATGCTTGAAGTTTCAGAATACTAATGCGACTATATTACCATCTAATGCCCTGGAACATTGGCTGTCGATGATACGTTAAATAGCACCTTTAGCCTCAATACTCAACACTTTATTCACGTTAAAGAGGTTCCAATAACACTAGGGGTTATTGGAAAAGAGCAATGATACATGAAGACCGTGTATATTGTACATCGTATATCGATTGTATTATAGACTTTAAATTTAACGTTTTGAACCAGATGAGATGATATCTTATATGTTAGTTTATTTTTAGTATCATCATCTCAACCATCATCTGTTCATTGCTAAACATAGGCCACCTTCATAGACTGCCACAACGAACGGTCCCGAGGCACCTGCATCCAATGACTCCCTGCAATGCATTTGAGGTTGTCACTCTATCTAGTGAAGGGAGAGGCGGTTGTCTTACACTGCATTTGCCCGTACGGGGTCGCCATTCAAGAACATTTCGGTTCGGTTGTCGGTTCTTCGAGTTATGTGACCAGCCCATTACTACTTCAGCTTGCTTATCTTACTTAGTTTCAGTAATCCGATATTAAATAAAAGAATCGTAATGAGGATTTACTATTTCCATTAAAATAATTATATGCGTGTGTTTGTACGTAAACATAATCGTGCTTGAACAAATGCTCCATAATAATGAATATTTAGGTATTTTGATAGCTAAATCTTGTGCTAAACGGATTTGAATGCCACTTGGATTAAAAAAAATAATTTGCTCATAACTACCGTCTCTGATGTCAGAGGTTTACCAGAGGGATTTTACCAGAAGGAGACTTTGTACAAAAGTCGATTGCTTGGGTACCTCTGTCTCATTCGTGTTTCAACCGTAAAGCAGTTGTGTTTGCATGGCTGTGTTTCGGTTTAAAAGGTGGGATATGGCGTGAATTTACTGGGTACAAAGGAATAACACCTCAGTCCTCAGGAATGGCAACTCATGGGGGGTACCATGGGCGAAACAGTATACTCTATTATATTCATGGTACTGCTTATGTCTATAGGCAACAGTTATCACTTTCCATCAGGTGGGCCGTCAGCTTGTTTGCTATTCTAAGTTGCATAAAAAAAAAAGTATATATTGGACTTACCCTTGTGCTAAAAGTAGCATTCGAGATACTAACATCTTTATTAGAAAGTAGCAGGCAAGCATACTGTTACCATATATAAAATAAATAAATAAATACCACTGGACACAGTGCCATTCTGTCCCAAATTAACCAGAGGTATATAGTAGCTTTATATACTTATATAATTTATTTATATAGGAAACATTCAGACCAATAGAAATTTCATTTCAATTCATTGCGTGGACATCGAATTCGTGACTATCGGAAGGTGAGGTGTTAACCCTTACACTATTGGGGTTGTAAAAAAATTGTTTATCATTATTTTCGACTGCATTTCATTGCGTCTATGTGCGGAGCAGTAAATACAGCGAGTTGACTGCAATAGTGGCGTTGTAATTAAAGCTAAAGTTAATCCGCTGTCACTGGTTCACGGTTCAAGCGTCGCATACACCAACTTAATTAGATTTTTGATGAATCACCTCGTCTATTAAGTGATGCCACGTCATTTACTTTTAACAAGGAGTAATAAAGGCTAGGCTTCGCTTATCTTTTCACAAAAAGGAAAAATAAGATAAAGAAAAAAAAGTTTAAATAACAATAGTTATTAAGGACCTACGTGGCACATTGGTTGTGGCATGTTGCTTTGCGTAAATGAAGTCCCGGGTTCGATTCCTGGTCGGGCTAGTTTAAAAAATGTATTTTTCTGAATTGGCTCGAGTTTGGGTGTTCTGTTCGTTCGTTGTTTGGTTCCGTATAACTAGTTTGAGGATTAGACGATATGTGCAATTATGTGGCGTTTATTATAATTTGTCTTTTTTTATGAAAACGATCTGTACTTATAACATATTTTCGTAATTCTCTTAAAAAATAATATATTATATTTGCTGTATCAGCTGTTAACTGTGCACTGCTGAACATAACCTTCCATGAGGGGTTTTGCCAGTAGTTGCCACGCTTGACAGGCGGGTTGGCAACCGCAGTTTGGCTTTCGGTGATATTTAAAAAGGGACGCTATTGCGCATCCCTCCAGCATCCTTTATTCGTCTCTTACGGCACCCAAGGGAAAGGAAGGGATGGCCTATTCTATGTCGGCATCTACAGGGCTATTTATATTTACAAACAATAAAAAATTGCTCTTTTTTAAAAATAAAGTAAAATTTATCTAAACAATTTTGAGATGTTAGGTAAATAAGTACTTTTAAAGTAATAATTGTAACAGATAACTCAAGAAGTCGTGACAAAGAATCGTGGTTGTACCACACAAATGGGGCACTTTATGTAATGTAATCTTAATTATATAATTATTAAATTATATCTGATAGAGTAATCTAGACTCATCTTCTTGAATGTTGTATGAATTGATGTTTCTTGAACATTAAAATTTACAGTTATGGCTTTTAATTCATTGTGCATTGAATTTTGTATAATTTATTTAAGTGCTGTCTGACCATGTAAGTAATACTATGTACAGTATAGATATGATTGGAAGTTATATAATTATGTAGATTGTTACAGAAAAACCTCTCTTATAAGAGAGGACTATGTTCAACAGTTGAATTATGAAGCAATGGAAATTAACGGTTGATGATTACAGAAAAAAAAGATGCTTAAAATAATTCAAAATCCAGTAACAATACATGAAATGAACTTTTAATATTTAATGAATGTAAGTATATTTGGACGAGTATTATTGACTATATTATTACGGTCAAGCATCGGTTTAAATGAAAACTAAAAAAATATTTTTTTCAACCATTCTCAATTTGGTTTTTTTTTATGTTTGTTACCTTATAACTCCAATATATAATATATATAAACCAATATGGAAAATTATTTTTTTTATTTGAAAGAATATATCTATTTGGTAACTGTTGTTGAGCACAATTTTACATAAATTATATTTTTTTTTGTTAAAAATTTCTTTATTATAAAATTTTCAGTTTCACAAACAAAATTTACTAACGTTGGATATCATGTTTTCCTCCGTAACACCTTATTAATGGTAGGTCCGTTTCCATTACATATTATATTACAGAAAATAACCACCTACAATTGTTTAAGTTTATTATTTTGTATCTATTTTATATCTACAAAATTTAAGTCCTATATCAGCACAACCCTTTGTTTTAGAAATATAGAAACCGACGCATGAAGGGAAATTACATTGCCGGAGGCTTCATAAATCCCCGCATGTAATTAAAACAAACAAATTAGATTGTTAATACAAATATCCAATATATGTATCCGGGGGCAAATTGAACATTCAATCGACCGTGACTCCGTAGGTATTCGTTATGGATCGAAATCTTGACGAGTAGGATCACAATGGTCTAAAGCCCCGCCGAGCTTCGGGTAACCTTTGGCCCAATATTTTGATTGAACCGACGTAATAAAGCAAGGTCGCCATCATTG